TTCTATAGACACCAATAATGTCCAAATCCGATATCGAGAGCTCTAGGTATGGCATGCACAAGAACAAAGTGTAAAAGTGGGTCAAATTCCAAAAATTAATAAGAATTTGCAATCATTACTAACTACACTCACTAATACAAATCAGAGTTAATTAATCAATTATTTACTCTTTAAAATATCAAATCACCCAAATCAATGCATTGAATTATGTGTCCCAGATGCACTATCAATACACACTAGAACTTTCCTTTGTGAAAATCTTTTATCACTTCATTTTCATGAATTACTTTCAAATCTCTGTGAAAAACTTTCTTGAATAAAAATGAGTGATCATTATTTTTATCATAGTAGTGTGCATGGTCAAAATTCCCATAATAGTAGGAAAATTACTAAGGAAGAACTTAGGGATTTAAAATAACATATTAGGAGAAAAAATGAGGAAAATGAAAAAAAAATAATGAAGCTATAATAAAGTTATTGGCTAAACTTGTGGTGAAAGGTGACATTAGCAAACTCAAAGATAAAAGTAGTGAAAGGCCTTCTAGGTTAACAAAAGGCAAAGGTGTTGAAAAACCCAAGAGTAAATATGAGGATAAACACAAGAGCCAGCCTACTTTCACCTACATCGCTCAAAGTGAAGGGTTCTATGGTAGCGATCACTATGATCATTATTATCAAAGACCCCCTAGGCAAAAAAGGCCTAGGCATTAACATAAAGAACCTAAAGTTTACCTTCCCCACTTCTATGGTAAAAATAATGTAAAAGAATATCTATATTGGGAGATGAAGGTGGAACAACTCTTCGCTTGCCACAAAGTGAGTGAAGAGAAAAAGGTTCTCATGGCTACCTCAGGCTTTCAAGGGAATGCCATATATTGGTTTACCTCCTTAGAAAGAGAGAAAAGATTTAGAGATGACCCTCTAATTCAATATTCAAATGAGTTTAGGAGCACCTTAAGGAGAAGGCATATACCTTCACACTATGGTAGAGCGTTACTGAACAAGCTCCAAAAACTCCAACAAAGAAGTCTTAGTGTAGAAGAATATATACAAACCATGAAGCTCTATATGATGAGGGTAGGAATTAGGGAGGAAGAAAGAACCACAATTGCTAGGTTCCAAAGTGGACTTAATCTTGAGATTAGAGATAAGTTTAAACTTTTACCATATAGAGATTTAAATGAACTAGTCCAACTTTGGATTAGGGTAGAGCAACGAATCAAGAGAAAAGCTTCTCACAAAAAGGAACCCTTTACCTTTTTTCACCCTAAGAACCTAAAGGAAGAAGATTACTTTTCCAAGAGTCACACTAAAAGAGAACCATCCATAAAAAAAAGAAAAGAACCAAAAAGAGACACAAATGTTGGAGAAGAGTAAGGAATAAAGTGTCTCCTCCAAAGGCTTTGTGAAGGAAGATGGTAGCTTTACTATTAAAGGTGATATCAAAAGGACTATATATCTTCATCATACTCTTAAGTCTATCTCTTATACTGCCGCAAATTTTGGTGTTGAGATTCTAACAAGTGGGGAACAAAATCTTTCAAACCCCCAAGTCATAAAAGAAAAAGAAACTTTTGTGAAGGAAGATGGTAGCTTTACTATTAAAGGTTGTAGACCCCTAAAGTTGTCCGGGTCGGAAATAAAG